GAAGAAGTATGTTGGACCCACTTGCCCCTAGTGTGAAGTGGATTAGTTTTTGAGGGACCACAAAAGTCAGTCTTGAATTTTCATAATAAGCCCTCAGAAGGTTCATATTCTGTCTAAAGTGAGTGGATCCAAGAGGCAACCGAATCCTGAGGGATACCCATTCATTCATTCACTCACTCATTCATTCATTCATTGTGTCATTATTGACACTGGCTTGCTGGATATATAGATGAGCATTACAGATCTGGTCCCTGCCTTCACAGAGCTTGCATTCTGGTGTAGGACAGAGACAATAAACAGTTGCATAAAAAATAAGGTGATAAGCCCTGATTGGTGTGACTTAGTGGATTGGGTATGGCCTGTGAACCACTGGTTCGATTCCAAGCCAGGGCACATGCCTGGGTTGCAGGCCAGGACCACAGTTGAGGGCATGTGAAAGGCAACCAATCAATATATCTCTCCCACATCATATATCTCACACATTGATATTTCTGTCCCTCTCTTTCTTTGCTCCCTTCCCCTCTCTCTAAAAATAAAAATTAAAAAGTAAGGTGATAAGAAATTGTGGTGATTTGTTTCTGGTTTGATTTGTTTTTACATTTTCCTTTTATGTTTCTTGCTTTACTATATAAACTAACACCATTCTTTCTAGAGGTAGGATCCTTTCCATTGTTACTGGGATTGGAAAGAAGTGATATTAAATAGTAATTATCACCTATATTAGCTTCTTCTGGCCATAAATGATCTCCTGCTGAAGTTTTTTCTTGATCAATAGGTGGCATCAACCATTTTGATTTATGCCTTGTCTTCATGTACTACACACACACACACACACCCAAATGTGCACCCACAAACACTTACACCTAGAGGATGAATAGGGAAATGATGTTTTGAAGTGTTACTGAGGTTATTATTTTTATTTTTTAAAAGATTTTATTTATTTATTTATTTTATACCGAGGGGAAGGGAGGAAGAGAAGGAGAGATTCTCTTTGATTCCATGAGAGGCAACCACAATCAACATGTGGTTGCCTCTCATGCACCACCTATGGGGGACCTGACCTGGCCTGCAACTGAGGTATGTGCCCTGACTGGTAAATTGAACCAGTGACCCTTAGGTTCATAGGCTGGTGCTCAATCCACTGAGCCACACCAGCCAGGGCTTAAAGATTATTATTTTTAAATCATAAGTTATTATTGGTAAGGTCCCAAGTATAGATATTGATATTTTTCATTTTATGGTAAAAGATAGCCCTACCCTATAGTTAGAGTAACTTCCTGTGGGATTTTTAAAACCAGACTTACTAATTGGGCCATAGCAGAGTTAGCATAGAATGATGGCAAGGACGGCATGTGTTTTATTCTCTGTTGTGCCCTGGCATCTAGCACAGTGACTGACAATGGAATAATTTATATTTGTTGAGTGAACTGGCCAATATGGTTGATTTGGTACTATCTGCTGTAGAAAGCGTCTTTATGGAATAGTAGTGATTCAGTCCTTATGATCTTTCTACTTTTATTATATATGGATTATGGTACTCACAGATGTTATATCAAATTTGCATTCACAAAGTTCCAGTCAACATGGAGGTATAGGCAGGCATGGGTCACCTCTTCCTACAACCACATCAAAATTACAACTAATGAGATACCACTTTACACCAGTCAGGATGGCTATCATAAACAAAGCAACAAACAACAAATGTTGGAGAGGGTGTGGGGAAAAGGGGTCCTTAGTCCACTGTTGGTGGGATTGCAGGCTGGTACAACCATTATGGAAAACAGTATGGAATTTTCTCAGAAAAATAAAAATCAACCTGCCTTTTGACCCAGCAATTCCACTGCTGGGATTATATCCTAAGAATCCTAAAACATCAATGTCAAAGAACTTATGCACCCCAATGTTCATAGCAGCACAATTTACAATAGCCGAGTTGGAAGCAACCTAGGTGCCCATCAGTAAATGAATGGATCAAAAAAATTGTGGTACATATACACAATGGACTTCTATGCTGCAGAGAGAAAGAAGGAGCTACTACCTTTTGCAACAACATGGATGGAACTGGAAAGCATTATGCTGAGTGAAATAGGCCAGGTGCTGAAAAACAAATACCATATGATCTCACCTTTAACAGGAAGCTAAACAACAAAACAAACAAGCAAGCAGGGGAAAAAAAACAAAGACACTGAAATAGAGAACAAGGGGACAGTGACCAGAGGGGAGAAGGAAGGGAAGTTAAGGGGAAAAAGGGGGAGGGATTTGGAGGAACAAATAGGAAGGACACAGGGACGAGAACTAAGGGGGGTGGAAATGGGAGGGAGGTGGGGAGCAAGGGGCGGGGGAGTCTGGGATGGGAGAAATAGACAAAAAACTGTACTTGAAAAATAACTAAATAAAATTAATTTTTAAAAAATTACAACTAAAATATAGAACAACCATCACTCAGAACCATCAGAAATTGAGTTGAATGGAAGTCTGACAACTATGGAATAAAAGAAACTACATCCATCCAGATTGGTAGGAAGGGTGCAGATGCAGAGTGGACTGGTCCCTCTCCCAGGTGTGACAGATAAAAATTCAGGAGGGAAATCTTGAGAGTGAGGAGTCCCAGAGTCCCAGCCCCATACCAAGCCCCCTAGCCCAGGGTTCCAGTGCCGGGAAGATAAGTCTCCACAACTTCTGGCTGCAAACATCAGTAGAAGTTGAGTCAGTGGAAAAAACTGCTGGAGCTCCAAGCAGTTGCTCTTAACCCACACACTAACTCATGTACTCAGACTCACTCCCTCTGAGCTCACTTGCTCTGGGCCAGCACCAGAGTGGTAGCTTGAAAAGCACCAGTGGTATACAGGGAGAAGCTGAAGTGTCTGGCATCAAGGCAAGCAGAGGCCATTGTCCCTTTTCTAAACCCTCCCCCCACACAGCCAGCAAGCTGGTGCCATAGCTGAGACTCCATCAACTTGGCTCACACTGTTTGATCCACCTTGAAGATCTCCAGAGACTCTTCCCCACTCACCTTATGGGCCCACCCCAGCTGTTTTTCCATATGAATAGCTGGTCTTGGCTCATGGTTCACAACTTCTTAAATCCTATCAAATAAACAACAGCTGGCCTCAGTGATCCACAGTCCCAGGACTAGCAGCAGCCAGCCTAGATTCACAGCTTGGCTTTGCCTGGGTATCTCCAAGCCCAGTGCAAGTAGCAGCCCTCTCAGATTGCTTTATAGCTCAGGTAGGATGGTCCTGGGGAAAACAAAGATAGGGGCTGACCTTGGCATGCACCACCTGGGAAACCTCAGAGCCTACACATCCAGTGGACCACTACAGACCACAGTGGAGCACCACCACCCTGCCCTTGCACAGCTGATGCTCCCTGGAGGGCTGAGGTTGGTGGTCAGTGGTCCCAGCCAGTCCTTGCAGCTGACTGGCCTGGGTAAATCCCTCCCATTGATTTGCCAACAGCAACCAAGGCTCAACTACAAGAGGAGGGTGTACATATGAAGGGCACGCCTAGAATATTCAGCTTGGGTGATAGGGGAGGCTATGCCACTGGACCCTACAGGACACCTAGTACATGAAGCTACACTACCAAGACATGGAGTCAAAGCAGCTCTGCCTAATACATAGAAATAAACACAGGGAGGCTGCCAAATGAGGAGATGAACATGGCCCAAGTGATAGAACAGATCAAAACTCCAGAAAGAGAGCTAAGTGAAATGGAAATAAGCAACCTATTAGATGCAGAATTCAAAGTACTGATTATAAAGATGCTTAGGTGGGGGGGACTCCGCCCACAGGGCCCCCTCTGGCTGCCACAGATGAGAATAAGTCCACCAAGACATGATATGCTTGGGGAGGAGAGGTAGCCAATCTCTCAAAGAAGAAGGGCCAAGAGCCTTTTCCTCAGTGGGCTTTTATTGGGTTCATTTTGCACAGGAATACAGTTAAAGCTCATTAATCATTGTCAAGCAGTAAGGATCAAACAATAGATAACATACAAAGAACTATGAGGGCTTATTCTGAGTCAGGGTCTGTTAGCAAAGGGGATACGAAACTTTGGGAAACAAAGCCATTTCCTGCTCAGACCCTTATCATTTAATTGAGAGTATTCTTAACAAAGCAGGTTTCACAGGATTTTATGTATTCTTTCTTAGGGCTGATCACCTGGGGAACCCACCCTTTCCAGCACAGGGCTGTACCACCCTCTGTCATTGTTTCAGGCTTAAATTGGGCAGGGGAAGTAAGGCAGCCAAGAGATTAGGAGATTTCTCCCAGACAGAATATGGACTCAGGCTATGTCAAAACCAAGGGGCGAGGGTCCATCACCCCCTTTTACTATAGCCCCCCAAGTCCTTCCTCGGGGCCTCCCCATGATTGTGCCTGTCTTAGGTCATTCCCCCCTTGGGGAATCTTATCTGTCATTGGCTAACTGATCAAGCATTAGAGGCCAGTTAGGATGAAGTAAAAGGAGCAGAAGCAGCACTCCTGCCAGGGAGATAAACTTTGTCTCCTTAATGGCTTATGGTCTGAAGGTCCTGCACTCAGCCTTAGCCATGGGGGGGCTGGGTTACAGCTTCTGAAATCAGGCAGGGCGGTTCCCAACATTTAACGAACTTAGTGAGGATCCCCAGCAGCATAGGAAAGATCCAATCATAAATGAAGGATGCATTAATTAAAATCAAATTTGCATTCACATGTCTCATACCTGAAATAAAATTATGATTCAATTACTTGTGAGTACTTTAGCCAATCTTTTTTATATCATGTCCTATGTAGAAATAGGTAATATTTGTATAGTGCAGTGGAGTAAACTGAGGTAGTAAACTGCTTCTGTTACAAGGGCCCCTCCAGGTGATCTCCTGAAGTTTGAGGGGTTTGGTGTTCACATACAGCTATAAACCATTCATAGAATACTAGTAGAAAGCTATGCTTTTTAGATCTTACTGTCTGTAGAAGTATGATGCTTTAAGATATATTGTTTTTGTTGTCCTTTTCTGGTTTTAGTGTTGAAATTGGTGAAAGTGTACGTGGAGAGGATGTCTACATTGTTCAGAGTGGCTGTGGTGAAATTAACGACAATTTAATGGAGCTTTTGATCATGATTAATGCCTGTAAGATTGCTTCAGCTAGCCGGGTTACTGCAGTCATCCCGTGCTTTCCTTATGCCCGGCAGGATAAGAAGGATAAGGTAGGAGGAGAACCTCCTTAATTAAAAAAAAATGATTTTAGTCAGGGGAAGCATGAGCACTTGCCCAAAGTTATAAAACTTTTTCCTTAATCATCAGATATGTATTTAGAGGATATTTTTAAGTCACATTCTCTGAGGAATTACCTGATGTTTAAAACAATTGACATGTGATTAGTTTGTATAAAGCAACACATTTGTAGTATGTGTGTTTAGTTCTAGTCATCCTGTGTGACTTTTGGTTAGTTCATTGCTATCATTTAATTGTATCAGTAAGACTAAGCACCAGCTCCCATGGAGTAGAATATTTTTTTAAACTATTGTAGATCTCCTGGGACCCTTCTGGTGTTATAGTTGTGATGTTTTCCTAAAACTTGAAGTCTGTTCTCATTACACACACACATACCCCTTGCCTTATTTATGTGGTATATTAGGGGATCAGGTATATACATAAAACTTTGCAGATCTGTTTTGTCTATTATAATCAGTTCCCAATTTTTTTTACATACAATGCATGGGAAAGGCCAAATATTTTTATTCCAATAGAGCAGGGGTGTCAAACTTGTTTTCATCAGTGGCCACATCAGCTTTGCAGTTGCCTTCAAAGGGCTGAACGTAATTTCAACACCTGAACATTTAAGGAGTAGTTACATTTATACAGTCCTAAAATTATTTTGGCCCTTTGAAGGCAACCTTAAATATAGTAGGTACCCAATAAATAAATGCTTTTTGTGCAAATGAATTGCTTCTGAAATTGGCTTTTTTTTTTCTTCATCTCCTCCATTTAGAGCCGGGCTCCAATCTCAGCCAAGCTTGTTGCAAATATGCTTTCCGTAGCAGGTGCAGATCATATTATCACCATGGACCTTCATGCTTCTCAAATTCAGGTATCAATGGAAACTACACATTAGTTTAGGTTTTTAGAGGTTAGAAGGGGAAGAGGACTGATAATGCTGAAGACTACAGAGAGCAAAATATTCCTCAAGTACAGCTCAAATAAACTAGATATTGACAATATTTTAAACATTCTCATATTGAGCTTAGTTCATGTTCTTAGTCACTTGGAATCATTGGAAAGAGAGGCAGTCATGTATTCTGGGAAGAGTAAGTTTTGGGATCAGACCTAGTTCGAATACTGACTCTGGCACTTACTACTTTTATAACGTTGGGCAGGTTATTTAATTTCTCTGAATATATGCTGCTTTGCTAACGTGATTCTTAAGTAATATGTTAAATTCATAGTATAATGCCTGCTTGTGACAGTAGCCAAATAAGTGGGAGTTGTTATTGTCATCATTAAATTTAGAGCCACAGATATTGGAACCTATTTTCTAACATAAACCCAGAGTAAGGGGAGCCTACTATACACATAACTATACACATACTACCTTATGTGTATACTTTTAACTTTTTTTTTCTTTTTTAAATATATAATCTTCATTATATTTTTCCATTACCATTTAGTCCCCTTATATCCCCCATCCACTTTTTATACTTTTTAAAGCAGCTTTCAAATCATTGTAATGAGAGGCTTATGGCAATCCAGTGAGGTATATAGGACAGGTGATTATACACATTTTGTAGAAGAGGAACAAATTAGTTGAACAACGTAACTAATCTGTGGCAACTAATATTAGAACATAGATCTGTCTTCTAGTTATTTTCTGTGACCATTTGTTATAAATACCTTCCACTAAGTTTATATACTATACCATCTCTAAATGGTTTACCAGTTAGCTTTTGTTCCTTAGCATAAAGCAGTGGATTTTATTATCTCATGAGTTATGTACATTGGCTGGGTAGTTCTGGTGTCAGCTGAATTTGGCCATTTTTTTTTCAAGGGCTCACTCATGTACCTATGATCAGTTGTGTGTTAGCTGAGGTCTGGCTTTGCCCATTGTGGCTGGGCTCTCTTGCATAGCTTGGATCCGAAGAGGCCATTTGTATAGTCTTCTACACTGAGCATACCTTCTAATCAGTCTGAATGTTCTAGTAAGGTATTCTTTGGGCAAGTCAGTATTCTCATTAGTCATTCACAAATGAAAGAGAAGGGTATACCTTAGACTCCCACAATGTTACACGTCAAATCCATTCAAGAAAAATAAATAAATGGAAGAGAAGGAAAATGAAGCAAAAGTGACCTAGTTCCTTTCTACAGGGCTTTTTTGATATCCCTGTGGACAATTTGTATGCAGAGCCAGCTGTCCTGAAGTGGATAAGGGAGAACATCTCTGAGTGGAGGAACTGCACTATTGTCTCACCTGATGCTGGGGGAGCTAAGAGGTATGGTTGAAATTCATATTATTCTCAATGTATTGGGAAAAATAAAATAAAATCAATATACTGGGAAAATCTTACTATTGTCAGAAAGTCATTTTTTTAATCCAAGTGACAATTTTTAAGTATGTCAGAATGGATGTACTGATAACTAGGACATAGGCTGGATATAGTTTTACTCCTCTTCCTGGCCTGATTCACTATGTGAAAGACAAGACAGCAGCAGAGGGGCCCTAAATAGTCTGGTGTTGTGGGCCTGACTGTAACCCATTAGTAACTTGGCACTTGGAGCTAGCAACACTGATAGAAGCCTGTTAAAAAGGGAAGGAAATATGGTTTTGAAATGAGTGGCACCTGCTGTCAAACCACATAATAATAGTGGACAAGTAAGCTTTTATACACTTCTTAATGCTTTTGTTAGACCATTTTGATCCTTTGGATAAAAGTATGAGGCAGGAAGGAAAATTAGGTATGGCAATTTTATTTAAACTCAAGACCTTAACATTTAAAATGAACTGCCAGGGATTGCCAGTTGTAGTGCTTTATAGCTCACCTGGTTGCGACTAAGAGCTTTTGATTTCCTTAGTGGGTTACTCATTAGTAATGCATTCAAAAGTGAGATACGTGCTTCATAGCTCTTTATATGAAGTTACAAAATACAGATGATTAGGAAAAGCTAATTCAGATCTCTTTAATAGCCTTCAAATCTTCAATGATTGTTTCTCTACAAGTTCTTTATTTCAGTTACTTCAACAGCACTGATAAGCTGAGAACTTGAGTTCTGTTATTCAGCCAGATGGCTTTTTCAAGATCATGTAATCACCAGTTACCTTCTGGAATACTAGAGATAGAACCTAAAAATACCCTCTACTGGTAGTTGTCATACTTGTCAACTCATCGTATATTGTTTTCACATCGTGCCATGGGACTTAGAAAATAGTCACATTCAAAATAAATAATCAAGCAGGATTTTCTTTCCAAAGTTGAAAAACTCCTCTTATTATCAATAGATGATTTATTGCTACATTTTTGTTTTTATTTGTAATTTTATTGTAGTGAAGGAGGGGTTTCAAAGTGAGTGGCTGTCACTTCTGTGTTGGCAGGATTTTTGGAGTAGGGAGAGATCCCTGTGTAGTTATAACTTGCACATGGTTCTCCCCTCCAAAGGCATAGGGAATGACTTTTTCTAGCCCTTCATGTTGTATTAATCACTGAGTTTGTTGGCTATTTTGTATGGACAGTTTGGGTTGCTTGAACTAATTGATCGTGCATTTGCCTTGGATAAGTAATCATTACAAGTAGATTGATTAGTTTTGATGTTCTGTGCCCATGCAGTAATAGTAAAATGAACACAGGTTGTGGTTCATTTAGACCAAGGTACAAATATTGCCTATCTGTGGTTCAAACCTTGTGTGTTCTCTATTATATGGTTACAGGTTCTCCCCTATAATATAGCACAAACTCAGATATGTGACCATCATCACAAGGGAAACAGAGCATAATACTCTGGTGGGACCAGTACATTAAAAGAAAATAAAAGCACAGGTCTATCACTTACGATGAGAATGGCACAGTGGAGCATGGATATGCTGCCACTGGGACAGTGGCATTTATACTGAATGGATTTGTATTTGAGTGAATGATGTGGCACTTTGTCACCAGACAAATTCGTCTTCCATCCCATGTTTTAGTCTGCTTTTTACTATCTTGCAAAAAAAAAAAAAAAGATAATCTCCTGTTTTGATTTGTAGGTACTTTGTATAGCAAGGTGACCAGTTTGCCTGGTTAATTAGTATGTAACTTTCTTTCTAGGAGTTGTTAAAGGAACTCCCAAGCTTGGTGTCCAGGTATAGTTGACATTGATAGTTTGTTCATCCCCGAGGGGAGTGTGATGAGGGTATGGGCATTGGAACAGGCTGAGAGCACTGCTATCCTCTAGCGAGGTTCAGGTTCACTTCTTACCACATCCACATGTCAAATTGGGACAGTCTGCATTTCTGCCATTAGTTAACCAAGTCTCTCTCCCCTTCTGCTGCTAATCCATTAAATGAATGTGCCTTAGCATTATTCCACTTCCTGGAACTGGTAAGGACATCTCTCTAGCCCCTACTGTAATCCAGAATGCATATAAGGTTGACTGATACATTTATAAACTACTCTCATGATGTAGAGACATTAGTTTATAAAACCAAGTTTGTGATATCAATAAAATAATTGCCTTCTTCCTGCCTTGGGAACTATTTAGTTTCAAGGAGAATTCTCCCCCAGAAAACAAGCCCATTCTTTAGTCCATTTATTTTTGTCTTAGGAGCCACACATACCCAGGTTTCAACTGCCAATACCCTGTTTTGCAGAGTTACCTCTATCGCAGACCGGTTGAATGTTGACTTTGCCTTGATTCACAAAGAACGGAAAAAAGCCAATGAAGTGGACCGCATGGTGCTGGTGGGAGACGTGAAGGATCGGGTGGCCATTCTAGTAGATGACATGGCTGACACTTGTGGCACAATCTGCCATGCAGCTGACAAGTGAGTGCCAAGCAGTAGGGCCTCTGGTTAGAAGTAAAAAGCTAACTTATGTGAATGCCTTAAGACTGCTGATTCTTTCTGAAACTGAGTGGAGGGATGATAACTGGCTTTGGGAGTTTTTCCTCACCTTAGGCTTGCATTTCAATATGTATAACTTGATGAATACTCTTCCCCCTCCCCCATAAATTTCCATAGTGTTTTTTCTCTTTATTGTGCTTAAATTGTATATAACATAACATTGGCCATTTTAAGTGTAAAATTCAGTGGTATTAGCTACACACACACACACACACACACACACACACACATATATATATATATATATGATATATATGTCTATATATATATCATATTTCTGGCTGTTTTGTGTGTAGTGCATAAATCATATATAGTGTAATTATCACTGTGTTTCTAAAATTTTGCCATTGCTCTGAATACTTTTGATTGTTTTTTTGTTTGTTTTAGCAAGTTAAAATGGAAATTCATAGGCCTGAGCAGGCAGAAATAATATTCTCATTTATATTTTACATAAGCCAGAAACCCTGGTCTTACCTCTTGATTGTCCATTTTAGCTTCTAATACCTTCATTCATATTACTTCTCATCTCTTGTCTGTTCTAAATTGCCTTCCCTCTCTTCACCCTGCTACCAGTCACCAGTCTCTTACTTCCCGAGTCCATCTTTCACATTGCCTTTCTACTTGCTAGTCTTCCTAAAACTAAGGTTTGATCCTACCACTCCTCACTTTTAAAACCTTAAGTGGCTTCTCATTGTGTAAAGTCCAAGCCACTATGGATAGCATTGTCTGTCATGACTTTTTTTTTTAAACTCTGAGTGTGCCTTGCCCAGGCCCTGGCATATGGGTGCTAAAATGGTGTTTGTGTGCTAGACGACTCCTGATTTTTCTCTTGGAGTATATATTCATAAACTTCCTTTTGTCTCTTTGTATTAGTAAGGAAATGCTAATTGCTATAATAGATCAACTCCCTGAAATGTTGGTGGCTTAACATGATAAAATTTCTTTCTCATTCATGGCATAGTCCAATGTGAGCATTCCTTTTTCAGTCATGTGTTAAAGGCACTGCACCTTTACCATGTAGCTTCCAAGATTACTTTGAAAGACATTTTTATTTTGGCCAGCCAGAAAGGGAAAAGATCATGGAATATTAATTACCCATGGAAGATTTTTTTTCAATACTCACCCAAAGATATGTTTTGTTGATTTGAGAGAGAGAAAGAGAAAGAAAACACTGATGTCAGAGAAAAACATCAATCAGTTGCCTCCTGTATGCACCCTGATCAGGGATTAAACCTACAAGCATTTGCTGTATGGGATGATGCTCTAACCAACTGAGTACCTGGCCAGGGCTACCCATAGAAGATTTTTATCAGCTCAGCCAAGAAGTGGTGTACATTGTAGCTACCCATATTTTGACAGCCAGAATTAAAGTTGTATGGCCACACCTAACTATGTGAGGCTGGGAAATGTAGTCCATCTGTGTTCCCAGAAAGAAGAGGTGATGGATCTTGCTGATTGCAGCATTCTGCCACAGTCCTTTTATATGAATCCAGACCTATTCAGATAAGTTCTTAGTCTGGTTCTCTCCCCTTGATAAGGACTGAATTGTGGCCCCCTAAAATTTTTGCATTAAAACCCTAACCTTTTCAGTGTGATAACATTTGGAGATGGGACCTTTGGGAGGTATTTAGATTTATATGAAGTCATGAGGGTGGGGTCTTTATGACTGGATTAATACCCTTCTTATAATAAGAGACCAGAGAGCTTGCTCCTGCCTCCTCCTCCTCCATGAATGTGGAGGCCAAAGTAGTCAAAGAGGTTGTGTGAACATTCAGTGATATGGCAGCCACCAATCAACTTAAGAGAATGGGCCTCAGAATGAAACCTGCCTTGCTGTCCCCTTGATCTTAGACTTTTCACCCCCCCTCCAAGAGCTGTGAGAAATAAAATTCTGTTTAAGCCACACAGTCTGGTATGGTACCTAAGCTGACTAATAAATCACTTCTTCCTAAGTCAGATACCATAGTGACAGGTAAGATTAATCAAAATCACCTCTTCTTTTTCCTATAGACTTCTTTCAGCTGGAGCCACTAGAGTTTATGCTATCTTGACTCACGGAATCTTTTCTGGCCCAGCCATTTCTCGCATTAACAATGCATGCTTTGAAGCAGTAGTGGTCACCAATACCATACCTCAGGAGGATAAGATGAAGCATTGCTCCAAAATACAGGTGAGGATGAGATTCTTGCAAAACAAAACTCCACCGAGTATTCAGGAGGTGGTTATATATGTTGAATTTGCTAGAAGGTTTCTTTTGACTCAAGGATTTAGTGTGTCATCAGGATCTGTGATCCAAGAATAAAAAATCCCATGCTTAAAAACTCAGATTCCGCCCTGGTTGAGGCTTAGTGGATTGAGCACCAGCCTATGAACCAGAGAGTCACCGGTTCAATTCCCAGTCAGGGCACATGCCTGCCTGGGCTGTGGGCCAGGTCCTGGTTCGGGGCATGTAAGAGGCAACCACACATTGATGTTTCTGTCTTTTTTCCTCCCTTCTCTTCTATGATAAATAAATAAAATCTTAAAAAAAAAACGTAGATTCCCAGACTTCAGAATCTTTGAAGGATGGACCCCAAGAGTCTACATTTTAACAGGCTCTCTCAGTGACCATGATACTCAAGTTTGCAAGTCTGTGTTTTATAGTTTGTGTGTATGTCACTCTTAACTTTTGGCCCTCTCAGATGTAATATGAAACCTTTAAACTGATGGTTTATTCCTTAGAACTCCAGTGTTTCTCAGAGTTGCTCTGGAATCAAACTAAGTTAATTACCTAGTATTCTTGTTAAAATGCAGTTTCCTTTGATCCATCCAAGACCTACAAAACTGGAGGTACTGGGACCACTGCCTTCAAGTAATTCCCCAAGTAATTGTTAAGTTCTCAATTTCGAATGCTATTACACTAAAAGAGAAGGCCTTTGCTTAATTTAAAATCTATACAATAATCCATTAGCTTTCTGAAATATGTAGAATTTGGGGGTTGATATTATTCTTAAGGGGTATTTTTCAGGTTAAATATTCAGTCCTAAAAAGAATTTAAATGTCAACCCATCACCATCTTGGTGAGTCTGAGTTAGAAATTTTCCTCAATAAGCATTTTAACTCTGCCCTACATTGTTATATTAAAAATGTTATGAAGAATAGCTGGGTGCAGGCTCACAAGGGGAAACAACACAGTGCAGCAGTCTTAAGAGGAAGCACTCTCATTAGGATTCTCATCAGTGTCTGCAAATTGGCCAGTCATCTCTATCTACATGGTACTAACCTGGTGTTTTTCATGTTTTTATAGGTGATCGACATCTCCATGATCCTTGCAGAAGCCATCAGGAGAACTCACAATGGGGAATCTGTTTCCTACCTGTTTAGCCATGTCCCTTTATAATAGAATAACTTCTGAGGCTTTTAAAAAATAAAGTGAACCCCGACCCTTGTTTTCCCTTGGTGTTCAATGAAAAATTTAGCAGAAGACCCAGCTTGTTCCAGTAGCTTTCTATATCCCATGCCAGGCACATTAATGTTTCTCTAAAATTAGGGAAAGACAGATGGAGACTAACTGCTCGGATTTCCTACCTGCATTGTCTCACTCTGGCTTCTCTGATTTTGTGAGCCTCGCAACTTTCACTATAGCTCAACTGCTGCAGGATTTCAGGCTTCGAAGGGTGTTGTATGGAGCATTTATGTGATTGGGGAAGCTCAGCCTACTTTCCTGTGAATGCTTCAGGGTTACATTGGTTCAGAATTACTAGCAACAAAGCAACCCAATCCCCCATGCCTGTAATGTGTGACCTGTTCTCTAAGGTCTATACTAAATTATAACAGGAGCCCTAGGCAGTCCAGAATCCAGCTCTCAGGTGGGAGCCTGAGGGAAGATAGCGCACAACTGAACAGATCTTGGTAGGAAAAAAGCTTGATACATCACCCTCTGCTAGGGAACTGTTGCTTAGTCTCTTTTGTACCTGTTTCTTTTCATTTGGTTTGATACTTTTCCTGGCCAAATACCCTCTTGGGCCCAAATCGTCATCCTACCATAGTCTTCCGGAATGCAAACCTCACTTTTTGCTCTGTATTGTTTAACATTTACATGAGATGTTTTGCTGTAGCTTAATCTTCCTTAGCTCACTACCACCATGGTAGCAGGTTCTAGGTGGTGTTGTAGTGCCTTTTGATTAATTTAAGTATTTAATTTTATCTTTCATCGGATCTTTTAGCCTCTCCAATGACTTGAGCTTTCTGTTAAAAACATTGATGTTAATAGCTCTTGTAGAGGAAACTAATAAAGTATCTGTGTGTGTGTGTGTGTGATCCTGGGTTTATCTAATCTCCTTATCGTATCTGTACTGTTCTCTTTGCCAAAGTGCCTTGCTGCCCAATGATAGTTCTTATTTTTTGTTTCTAAATTATTAGCTGCATTATTAAGCCAAGAGGAGACATTAACCGCAGTTTCATATGTATAGTAATTCTTATGCATTATACCTCAACTGTAGGATGTCTAATGCCTGCTGGATCTGGATAGTAATTAGGTCTTAAAGAGAATAGTTTCTGTAATTTATTCATTTTGAACCAATTTTGCCAAACAGTGAAAGTATTTCTTCATCAATAGTTGATACATATTTGGTTATTAATTTCAGCCCTTCTGAACAAAAACTGGGGAAGGTAAATGTGCAAAAATGAAGAATGAATTATAACACATTCCAAAATTTTAAGGGACTTTCTTTGTTTATCATCAAATAAGGGCATTCTTTCATTTTGGGGAGCTACATGCTTCTGGAACTTTATGAAAATTGTTCACTTATCCTGGTTCTGGTTTTATTTTCTTTGTATTTGATTTATGTTGAGTATTGGGATACCTATTTTACAATGAGTCTTTTGAAAAAAAAAGTGATTCAGAAGGGAGCAAAGTGATCTATGACTCTCTAGCCCTCTTCACCCAAAATCTTTGCTCTGGGAGAAGCTGATGCGGAGCATCAATGCCATAACTTGCTGATTATGCTCTTTTCTAAAGTATTGGGTCAGTTGGTCAAGGTTTGGCCATTTCACAATATTTTGACATAAAGCCTCTACTGTGGGTACCCTTGGTTAATCTAGTTCCTTGGATGAGGTTTTGACAAAGGTCATTCAAGAAAGGATCTCAATCCCTATTTTTTTTATTGATCCCTATGCCCGGGGGAAGGTCAATATTCAATTTCTTGTGAGACTTAGCAAAATGCCCTAATCACCTCCAAGGCCATTCTTATTTTCTCCAGTGAGAGAGATCCATGTGTCCCGGATGGCAAGTAATTCTTCACTGGGGAAGAGGAACAGACCTGTTGAACTGTGAGAAGGCAGCACCGAAGCTGAAGGGAGTTGCAGTGAGAGCAGTTGAAATGATCCGCAAGAGTTATATATATGATTGTGTCTGAGCAAAAAGCATCACTAGGTTGTATTTCACATTCCTTCACCTACTCCTACCCTCAGAACCAGAGAAAAGGAGGTTAGTTAGACCAAGGCTAAGCTCATCAAGTCCCCAAGCTAATGCCTTAATAAAATATTTATTTCACCTTAAATTGGGACTGTTAAGTTTTTTTTCAGATTTGGAATGGAAGCACTTTCTGCTAAAGGGTTATTTAGCCCATTCATTTATGTAGTCCTTAACCTGAGGGTAATCAGGATTGTGAAAAGCATGAAATTCCTTAAGAAAGCACTCTCTCCCATTGACCTGCTCTCCCACCATCTTGAGTAGTGCTTGATGGTAGGGGAAAGAAGAAGCCTCAGGAAAGGAGCTGGTTTCTTGGTGGCACCTCCCCCACAAACTCCTAAAGTAAGAATGAAAGAAGAAAGCCCTGCACCTACTGCCCAGGGCCCACCAGACTACAGACTACCGAGGAGGTAAATTGCCCTATTTGTGGAAAGAGCCCTTTCAGTCAGGAAATGGAACCAGCCTCTGAACCTCCAGCCTTTTAGCCAGATGAGTCTCAGTTGATTGGCTTCTGGAGCCCTTAGGCCTGGGTTCCCCTGCCTCTTGTTTGCCTTTGTGGTACCTTTGCAGAGGATTTGCTTTCACTGTGCTTGACAAGGCCTTTTGCATCCAGTGCAAAATATGACTAAAACAGGTTCTGTTATAGAAGGGTCGTGTGTCTTTGTGGAGTCCTCAATATTACATGGAAACAGGTTACCAGGGTTATCTATACAGCCCTTTGTATAGCTACCAATGGGAGAAGGGAGGATGAGAATGAACACAACCATGGGGTGGGAACACACACCACAGTTAATTCACACTTCATTTCCAGGCTAAGGATTGACCAATCATGTGCCTATTAGTAATTTTGCAGGTGATTATTAAAAAACATGCTTGACAATCTTCCACCCCTCAGAACCATTCACTGGCCTCTGGACACTGCTGCTTGGAACAAGTGGCAAAGGGTGCTAAAACTAAAGATTTTTCCCTCTTGCTTTACTTTTCTGCTATGTTTAGGTATCTGTTTTTCCCTTGTAGAACTTTTTCACCAGTCTGAGACCCGCTGTATAATAGTGAAGCAAATTCCACTCTAAATTATAATGGATAAAGCTCAATGTTTCATAGAGTCTTTGTTCAAGTGTTTCTTCTAAATCATCTTTTTCAAAGTTTAGGTCTTTGTGGGACAACTGCAGGGTAGCTAAGATGTTAATGGGAATATTCAGATCCCTTATACTAAATACATGTACTAAACATGTATGTTAGGATCAGGTCTTGACATTGGTTCTCAGGTTGCTCTTTCTGGGATGTTTCTGCTGGGGTGGGTGATGTCAACTGCCTCAGAGAACCTTGTGCTATTAAAAACCTGTGTTTTAAAAAACCTTCCATGTAAAAAATCTGTGATTTTACAGATAAGATTAAATATAAGGGTAGATGTTAAATCAGAAGTAAGGCCAGATAATTAGTTGCCAAATCTGAAGAAAATTGTAGTAAAAAGTTAGTTTCTGAGAGTTTGTCCTCAGTCTGATAATAGGAAAGCGACTTGCAGTCATGTTTGGTATATTTGATTGGGGGAGGGGGGCTTATCATTTCTTTTCAGTATGGAATCAAATGGGATAAAGGATATAGAAAGTAATGTGAAGAAGCAATGGTCTTTTCCTTCAAGCTTCAGGAAGTTACTTTGACCTAAAAGACCTTTGGTAATGGTTGTTCAGTTGCTGCTCTACCTCACCCCCAAGACTGCAAAGTGCAGGGCTTGCAGGAGCTGGACACATTCCTACTGCCTCACACTTGAGACTGCTTTTCTGTCTCAGCATTGCCAGCCATGAGAAAGAAGTTACTTCTTGACTACCACCTTCCATTCTCCTCTGCCCCACTGTTCTGAACCTGGATGCCATTAGCCTTTGATGTTCTTAAGCAGATGTTGCCATGAAGCTTCTTAGGCCCTCTGTTATAGAGGATGTTCTCTTGGGTGTTTTCTTGTGGAGTGAAAGGGAAGGAGAAACAAAGGGGCAGGGTAGATTTTTCCATCCCATCCTTTGGTAACCTCACCAGCCCCAGAGCCTCAAAAACCTGGCTGGCTCTTTGTTCTTGCTGAGTCCATGTGGGTGTGATCTCTCTTTATTGTTGGCCTATTGTTCACTCCTCCATGACAGCCTGCTATCCCTGCCTCATGCCCTAAGGAAAGCCAGAGGGTTTCCACTGGTCACCTGAGTCAGACTCTTCTATCATTTTCCCTTTCTGAGCTCTTTTTCCCAATATATGTTTCTCCAATAGTCCAGTTAGCAACTATAGAATTAAATACAGAGGAAGAGGAAGCTCATTTTGAAGAAAAATATGTGAAAGTGTACAGTGTGACACCAGGCCTTATTCCCAATCCCATCTGCTTTGCTTTTTTTCAACTGGCTCAGTTTTTATATTCTTCAAGTTTACATAGCCACACTGAGTTGTTCACTTACTACAGCAGCTGATCTTCACCCATATAGTTCCATGAGTTCACTCACATGTGGTTTTGATTCAGGGTTTGAATATAAAACAAGCCAGGCTTGATCAATTCATTTTGCTTGGGCAATACATTGAACAGAAGTTTTTGACTCCAGCATATAAATTAGCCTGGAAGCACACCACCAACTCAGTCTTCACCCTCAAAGTTCGAGGGGTAGGGCCTCTAATGGCATAGTAGGTAGGAACTTTGAGGTGTGGGAGGGCCTGCAGCAAGGCAGGGGAGGAGCATCCAGGGAAGGGCTGCCCAGCTGTTGAAGCCTGGCTGTGGACACTCCCCTGCAGAACCTTTCTTGTACCCACCATCTAGCCCATGGGGCCCAATACTACTGCCCAGCTGCCACTATGGAGAGCCATGCAGAGAGTGGAAGGCCAGGACGTCTGGGGAAAATGACTTGAGTAGTGGCATGACTGGCAGCTTCAGCACTTGTCAGTCCTCCAGGTCCCCTCTTCCCTTTTATGCATGCCGCCAGCAGCCAGGGTAACAAAATGGTAGCCAATTATCAAAGGGAAAGTGCACGAAGTGTAAGTGTATAATTTGAGGTACTCTCTTCTGGAGGGGGAAACAGGACATTACAACTTACTGTGATAAGGACTATGATAAGGGAAAAATTAAGGTTTGATGGGAGCACACTAAGCCAGTGTTGGGAGTCATGAAAGGCTTACTGGAGAAAATTATTTTTACTCTTTAAGCAGTTAATTAGAAGTTAGTCAAAGATGGAGTGGGGAAAAGGGAATTTCAGGCAAACAGAATAGCATGTGCTCACCTGGACAACCACAAGAATGTAGCTAGTGTGTATGTATGTGTGGGGGTGGCATAGGATGAGCTGTGATGAGGAATGGGGCCAGCGAGAACAGATCAAAGGATCTTATAAGCAGATTGACCATGCATGTAACATCCCAGCATAGTTATTAGTAGCACCCCTTTTCACTCTTGAAAGTGTCCTGGTTTGGATTGTATAGTAACCTTATCATATGGTAACCCTACTTGTAAGACATACTAAGGAATTTCAGTTTTATCATGTGAGCAAAGAAGAACCAGTGAGGATTTTTTTTAAAGATTTTATTTATTTATCTTTAGAGGGGAAAGGAAGGAGAGAGGGAGAGAACTGGCCTGCAACCCAGACATGTGCCCTGACTGGGAATCGAACCGTGGTTGCTTGGTTCCCAGGCCCGCGCTCAATCCGCTGAGCTACACCAGCCAGGGCTCCAGTGAGGATTTTAAGCAGGGTGCCAACAGGATCAGATTCACACAGTTAAAATAATAGACTGACAATAATGTGAAGCATGGATTCGGTGGGGGCAAGAGTGAAGGAAAGGGAGACCAGATGGTAAGTGATGTGGTGGTCCAAGAGTGAGATGGGGGTGG